TGGAAGGCAGCTTCATAACTTTAGAGATTCAGAGAGGGTGATTGGCCGCGGTTCTACCGCGACCGCGGCAGAACCGCGGCAGGCGCAGAAAAGTTCAGGGGTCAAAGTGTCAAATACGGGATTTTTAGACCTAAACCCTATTTAAAACATTAGACTTCGCCCAAGAGAGGAAGTATTAATTTTTAGGGTTTCTTAGCAAGGAAAACCATTGTGAGAGAATACTCCAAACATCTTTCTTCTTTACTTTTGATTTTTATGATGAATTCTATCTTAGTTTATTTTCCCATAGCCATGAGTAGCTAAATTCCTTGTCTAAGGTTTTGATGGAACTTATTGGGTGATGAACTTCTTGTTTATGTGAATACAAATTGCTAGTTTAATCTCTATTTGTTCAACTTCGTATTTGTTGTAGTTAATTGACAGGATCCTCAATTAGCTGTGCCTATTTAGTGTGCATAACTTAGAAAAGAGTGCATATTTAGGGTATTGTTGAACAACACCACTCCTAGATTATTAGAGGAATCTATAATTGCGGGTTTAAAGGCGGGATTAGGGATAACGAAGCCTTGGGTGTAATCTAAAGTGAATCGTGCTAAATAAAGTAAGCTAGTGTATCTCGGGAGAGTGCAATAGTAAATTACTGTGATTACTCGGGAGAGATTTACGGTAAGATTAACGTTCATGATTGATAGAGATGTGTTGGTAAATTTGTATGAGCATAAACAGAAGGGATTCCATCAATAGGGGAAATTATTGCCTTAGCTTTTTATCATAATTGTTTACAACCTTATTAGTTTAGTTTACAGCTATTTAGTTACTTGCAAGCATAGTTGTTAAAGAACATTCAACTGAGATTTGAATATTTGGGAAGCTGGTTCTGAAGAATTAGTGGGTCTGAAGATAGTGGTTGATAGGTTAACTCTCTGTGGATTCGACCCTGGGCATAATACTCGGGTTATATTTGCAACGTCCGCAGAGTCCTTTTTATAAGGCATAGTTGGGCGTGATCAACCACTAGTATCAAGTCTCATTTCAAACAAGTAACCAAACGATAAAGTTGGTATATTCTGCTCCTTAAGAAAATGAACACCTCCCACTTCCCCAACAAATGTGTAAAATGTGGGAAGAATGAATATATAGTCATGAAATCTTGAGGAAAATAACCAGAATTTTGAAAGAAAAAAAAAAGAAGAAAAAAAAGGTGACCTATTTTCATTTAAGGCCATTATTTATTTCAATTAGCAATTCCAAGACCACAGATTTTCAATATAGCCCATAGTATTCGCCATATAATCTTCATAAATTTCTACCATTTGCTATTTTAGTAATATGGTGCCACATGCCACCAAATGCCAATTATGTAAGTTGACTCAACTTTCACACTCCATACTACACAACTCATTTTCTAGGTTTTATTCCCTTTAGCTTACTTAAAAAAATATGTATATGATTTTACATTTTAATAATCGTGGTGTCTGAGTCAGTTTGCGCGCACCTCAGTTTATTCCACAAGATACCTGTCATCTCCTACCAACAACAGGTGCTAAGTAACTCTATTCACCAAGACTTGGATATATTAGAAAAAATCACCTAATAATCTGAATCCTCGTAATTTTTACCTACTTCATTGGCCGTTAGAACATACTCTTAAATGCAATAAGTATATTATATTATATTATATTTAAAAAAAAAGGTTCTTGATTGCCCATCAATAGAAGAGATCCAAGGAATCCGTGAGAGTAGAGTATCTTATCAAGTATAACCTCAGAATATTCATATAATATGCTTTTTGAAGCCCTACAAGCCGTCCATATAAAAAAGTAGAGACACATGGCCATCACGAGTGTTTTTGTCAAGTGAGAAGGAAGTAAGTACACTGGTCTTGGATCAACGATAAAGTTATCGTATCACTTATAAGTAACGAATTTGAAACGTAGAAACAACCACTAATATTTATATTAGGATAGGTTATCTACGTTATATCTCTAAGAGTACGACCTTCTTCCGGACCCTATATGAATACCACGAGATACTTTATGTACTGATCTGCTTTTTTGGAAGGAAGTGAACGAGACTCTTGAAAGAGATGTATTACTAGTAACCATAAATTAATCAGAAATGTTTATACTATGGTTTCTTATCCATTTCGGCATATAATTTCATTTTATAATTGATTACATCTAATCAAGCTTTGTCTTCTTATGCACATGCACAAATAGCGGTTATTCCTTGGTGCCATTATCAAGTGTCTTATCATCTTTTTTTTTTTTTTTGTCTTCTTTTTTATGTTCGATTAATTTAAATTTGCGCCGGAAAATCATACTTTGGGGTAAAGCACTTCTTATTATAGTCAATTCTATTTTCAAAACTTGAATTCAAGATCTCTCATTAAAGACGTCAATACCTTTAATCAAAGGCAAAATCAGAATTTAAAATTTTACGGTTCAACTTTTAAGGTTTTTAGCATTAAACTCATTATATTTTTAAAATTGCGAATTCATATTTACTATTTGTTGCAATTTAAAGAATTTTTGTACATAAATTTGTATTACGCGTCGAAAATATTGGGTTCACATAAATTTAGTACCAAAGGGCTGGATCCGCCCCTGCCTTTAATGATAGTGTTTCATCATCAAATTAAATGTGTGATTGTAGATGCTTCCTTTTGCAACAAGTGAAAAGGACCTTAAAATATGAGATTGGAATATACTTTATTCAACTGTTAATGATTCAATGTATTCAAACATATAGATATAGGTGTTTCTACGTTCTCGAATATACACTTAACCAAATTCAGAGTGACACAAAATTAAACTAAGATTGTCAATTCGCATAAAGCCTATTAGAATTGTGCTTTCAAAAAGTAATTACTATCATTCCATCTAAAAGATAAAACGAAATTAAATACTTCAAAAATAAGTTAGACAACTTGTTATAGTAATTTATTAAATTACACTTGTAAGTAAAATTTGTGGCACAAACAGTTTATACAAGTTAATTAAATTCTTCTTTTCCAAGTAAAGCTTCAAAAATCTCTATTGTTTACTTTTACTTTAGATAACCACGCATAGTGAAAAGCAAATTATAATATCAAGTAGGTCAAATGATTGAGATATAAAGGTATTACAACATATCAGGATAATCCTGGTGTAGTTGATAAAGTTGTTGCCATGTGACCTGTAGGTTACGGGTTCGAACCGTGGAAACAACCTCTTACAGAAATGCAGGGTAAGGCTGCGTACAATAGACCCTTATGGTCCGAACCTTCCCTGAACCTCATGCAAAACGGGAGCTTAGTGCACCGGACTGTCCTTTTACCACAAATCAGGGAATCCCCTATTTGGAGTTTTAAATTCTTGTGTAGTTGTGTTGATTAGACTTTTTTGATTATTTACATTGTTAATCCAAGAGATAATGGTTCTTTAATTTGCCAAACCGATTATAAGGGACAAAAGAAAGACATAAGTACAAGAAGAAAAAGAAATTGAAGGTGACATATAATGGAATATGATACATTTCTAAGCCTCAATTATATGGATCCATTCCTATGTTGCTTGTGACTCAGCTTCTTCTATAAGAGTAAGAAAGCAAGACTTCACTCTCTTGATGCAAAAGACAAAAGAGGCAGTTTTATCTGTCTTTGTTGTCCTTTTTAAAAGTGATTGATGGAATATATCAACTAGTGGTAGGTTCACTTGTTTAATAAGCTTTTCTTATCCACTAAACTCAACCGAACATATTTTCTCATTACCTGATTTTACGGTTCGAACTCGTAACCTATAAATCACACGGAGACAACTTTACTATTACTCCAAGAATCCCCTTCATTTATATATGATCGTGTATAATCTACATGTATTAACTAGAAAAAGTAAACAGTAAATTCAATCAGCTATTCGTATAATTATGCACTTAGTAGGCGTTTGGACATAAAAATTAAATTTTTGAAAAAAAAATAATAATATTTGGAGTTAAGTTGAAAAATGATACTTGAAATTTGAAATTATGTTTGGACATGCATTTCACTTGAAAAAATATTGCAGTTTTGTGAGTGGCCAAAAAAGTTTTTCCTGAAAATTTTGAAAAAGTGGTCAAAATCACTTTTTGGTTTTTAAAAAACTCATTTTCTAAAAACTTCCAAAAACTTACAAAATTTCATGGACAAACATATTTTTGAAAAAAAGAAATTCATGGACAAACGGGACAGTTCCACGTTGTTGTAAATAACTTGTGCACGCCACAATGAAAAACACATCAAGTGAAAGCCAGGCAGGTGTTATGCCTCTTTGGTGTTGTCTGATAGAATGAATAATATATAATTAATCATAGCCTAAAATCTGACATAAAATGGTAGTATTTACTTCTCCATATAAGAAAAAATAATCTCTACGTAACTGATGTTTAGTACCGCAATGTTTGGTTGACAAAAGTAAATAACACCCATATTAAGTAGTACTATATATAATATGCGAGAAATAATGTGAAATAAAAAATACATTTATTAGCAATGAAAAGATTAAACTATTGGATGAATAAAAAATACCCTTAAAGTAAATAATTCCTACATAACAATTAGTATGTGAACCAAATGATTCTTAGGTAGGCAGTTAGTAAATCCATACTCAGGCTGCAACATTTGAAAATTGATGAATATTCCTAATCCACATCAATGTCACACCTCTTATATCCCACTGTACCAGATAGTATTCACAAGAATATTATTAAATTTTATTTTCTGGGAAAGTAAACTAGCAATAATGCATGAGAGAGTCCCTATTCTCTTTAAATTAGCATCAATAATGCATAAGATAGTATATTGTAATCTAAAAGGGCAGCCCAGTGCACTAAGCTCCCGCCATGTGCGGGGTTCGGGGAAGGGCCGGACTACAAGAATCTATTGTACGCAGCCTTACCCTGCATTTCTGCAAGACGTTATGTCCACGGCTTGAACCCGTGACCTCCTGTTCACATGGCAGCAACTTTACCAGTTACGCCAAGGATCCCATTCAAGATAGTATATTGTAATCAATCAAAATTTAAGAAGCATATACAGACAGCATTGAGCTTTAACCTTACAATGAAATACACCTGAAGTATATTAGAAGCCAAAAATTCCCAGCATATTTTTCTACATATGATCTCACTGGGAAGAATATGTCAAAACAAGTTACAAATGAGATGAAGAAGATGGTTGCCTGTAGTTAGCTGAAACTAAAAAATTGAAATGATCAGCATAAGAAACATACACTCCTATTCTTTGGTGTGTTCTTTTCTTCATAGCCTCTAACGAATGATCTAATCGATAGATGCTCGGAAGCATATGTCATGAAGGATGCCAAAATAAGACCACCGACCACCATCAAACCTAACCTGCGTAAAAAAGCATATACAGGTATTATTTGACTATCCACGGCGTTAAAGATTTTCTAGTGCCTAATACCAAGAAGAGGTCTCGGTAAAAGCAGAAAAGAAAACAAAAGAGAGCGCAGGAAATTGGACTCCTAGAGAAGCAAACTGCATTAACAAGAAAATCTACCTTGAGAGATGAAACTACAGAGAAAACATGCACCGAAAAGTTAAAACACCAGACAGATCTCTCTATAACAACATCTTTATATAACAGCCATGCACTATAAAAATCGATTTTCTAGAACTGATTTTTACACTCTATAACAGCACTTCACTATAGCAGCCAAAAAGTATCGGAACACATGAGACTGTTATAGATATGTTTGACTGTAGTTTAAACAGCTAATGGAGAATAAATCAAGGAATTTAAGAATAGACCAAAAAACACAATGCTACATGGTGATAAAAGATGGCTTACATAACACCCGAGCAATGTTGTTGAAGCTTCGACATTATTAGACTATGTAGTCTAACATGAATGATTGCTAAAGCATCTTTTAGGCTTATTGGCCTTTACAACGACCAATTTGAAATTCTGATTCACCCTAAAAGCCTTAATTTACTTTTTGGTTACCGGGGTAAGAATATTAATCCCAGTCTAAATTAGGGATCATAGTTATCCCATGTTGGGTATTAGCTAATACCGGTACAAATATTATACCAAAATGGTCGTATTAGCTTATCCCAGATAGGAGAGGTGGGATAGATAATCTCATCGGATATCCCAGAATTATAAATCCCATAGGATATCCCATAACTGAACCAAACGACCCTTAGTGTCTTCTAAACCAAGGGACTTCCTCATAAGAATCATCTCAATGTATTTTTTCCTTCTAGTTAAAGATGTGATTAGATGTCCATTAAAATTATCAAGTCGCAATAAACTTCAGCACATTGCATGTTCTAAATTCATATCAAGCTTATAACTTCACACTTACGCATAATTAAAAGATTCAGCTTTTTATTGAAACCAAAACCACAAGGCAAGTAAACACCAAGTGCCATCAAATGCAGCCTGAATGTATACAATTATTATTAGACAACAACCAAATGACACAAAATTGACTGAAATGCAGAAATCCTGTTGAAAGTACCTTAAAAACAAAGAAGTGACTCCAAAAATGCCAGGCAACGCAGGGGCCGCAATGGCAAGAAATGCCATTCCTAACCCATAGTACCACGCCGCAATGTCACAACATGATTGCTGCCGCTGATGACCTACAAAGCAACAAAGTGCAAGCAATTTATCCTTTCTATTAGGGGTAGGACTTACTGAACAGCCACCCTGGTTGGTATTGGAAAAGCCACAACAATGAGGCAATGCACCGATAAAGCTGGTAAAATAAAATTCAATGATCTCGTTAAGTGAACCAACCTTTTCCAGGTTCATAATCCAAAGATACAGGAAGTCCAGATTGATTTGCCGCAACCCTTCCCCACTGATACACTAAGTGCAAATAACTTCCAAACAAGAGGAAGAAAAGTGTAAATGTCCACTCATACATTAAGAGGAGACCGGTCCATGGCATTACTTGGCGTGGAATGATTAGAAGTGGAAGGCCAAGGGACACCAGCGCAGCAGCAAAACAGCAACAGACAGATATCGCACCCAGAAAAGCAGGCACCTTCACCTGCATACCATTTGGGACTGTTTATCATTTTAAGTGAGAAAAGCAACATAAGCTTATCAAAAAGTGAGTAAAAATATTATGGTAGAATCTGGTCAACAATTGTGCAGCCAAAAGATGTCAACTATGAAAGTAATAATTTAAGGCCACCCTGCATTGTAGGATAGCAATTTATATTTTCCAATCCCATAGAGACTAGTGAAAAGTAAGGAGCAGAACTTAATTAGGATGTTGACGACTCAACAACTGACGGGAAGAAGAAGAGGTTAGGTACCGGCTGGTTGGAGCTGATGGAAGCTGGCGGAACAGAGGCGTAAGCTAGGACACCTCCTCTGACCTTGTAGTACAGTTGTCGGATATGAAGCCATAGTGATTGTGTCTGCAGAAGCAATCTTTTAGAATTATATTCAAACAATTGACTAGTGTTTAAGTAAAAACTATTTTTGACAACACTAACCTGTAGGAAAGACCGATAGTAAGAAAATGCTATCAGAACTAACGGAAGCAAATAAAGAAATTTGACAAGAAGTTCATCTCTGGAATTTTTGCCCCCACCAGTTCCAGGTAGAGATTCTTGAAGTTGTACCCTCACATTCTGCAGCACGGGCGAACATAAGAAAGTCACACAATCTGCTTCAGGAAAAACCTTCTCGAACCATCAAAGTAATATACAGCAAATGCAGGAAAAAGACAACCATATTTGGAGAACGCAAAGTACATTTGCAACAGCTGGGGAAGTGCGAAGAAGAAGAAGAATACCTGCCACACATCAACAGGTTTTAACAGCCAAGAAGTCCACCAATCCCACGGTTTAAGCGGGCCAAGTGTGTAATGAATAACTCGGAGTTCCTTTTCATCCACCATCCACTGCAGATAGGTTAATTAGGGAAAATAAAGGTCAGAAGAAGGAAGACGGCAACATTAATGCACTTCTGTAATTCTGTTGCTTAAAAGTTTCAAGCATTTGCAGTAAAATAAGTTTCTTCCAGAAAACCTACTGCAAACAAAAATTGACTATAGTTCATCTAAGATATAAAACCTTCTCATTTTATTTCAGCAGGAAAAAGCTTTCTGCTATCCAAGACATTTTTTTTTTTCTTTGGGACATGGTAACCCCCCTCCCCAATCCGCGGGAAGAAAAAACCAAGGAGTCCACTCCCCCTTAAAGAAACCAGGAGTCAAAAAATGATCGTTTTCCACTTTGCTCCACTGGGAACTCGAATCCCCAACTTTATGGTTGAACGTGGAGGGTACTTACCATTAGTCTTTTCCTCCTTTGTCTTTGGCCATCCAAGATATATTCATTGATTACCTTCTATTAATACTACAATGCACATTTAGAAGCACTTTTTCCTAAATGGCTGTAGCTTTCTCCAAAATTTCTCTTTCCATGGAAAGATTATTCTACACATAAAATATGGTGATATGAATCAATCAGATTGTACATAACCCCATAATCATCTTTGAATAGCTTGACACAAATTGGACTTGAACATCCATAAGATAGCTGCTTCAAGATAAATTGCCTGCAGAAGACAACAAAGCCCGAGGGCGGATCTATAGTGTCACAGATGAGTTCACACTTCACATGAACCCAGTAGCTTTTGCCCAGACTATGTATATATATTAAGAAATCTACTAAATATCTATAAATGTATTATTGTATGTCAACTTGACGTTGTAGGAACCCATAAACTTTAAATCCTGGATGCGCCACTGACAAAGCCCACATATCATAACAATACGTGGTACATGTAATGGTGGGAGGTAGCACGTATCTAGTGGAATAGTCGAGGTACGTGCATGCTGGCCCGAACACCACCATTATTAAAAAGAAAAAGATACAACAAAGCCCACTGAATAATATAAATTGGAAAACTGAAGTTTCCCGCTAAGGTTTGCAACATTGCAATACTACTGCGGCATATTCCAATTCCATGAATGTCAACCTTTTCTTCTTTTTTCTAGATCTAACAAATTAATCCTTCCCCCAAGAGTTTCTAACAATTGTATTTTGACCAGATGTTGATCAAAAGCTAAGGCCTAAAAATCCCACACCCACCCAACTAAAAGCATACTCAAAGAAAAGCAGTCTCTTGAACCTAAAACATACCTTGTTAGCAAGCATGTAGAGGCCAACATCTGCATTGTAAAGAGTAGAAAGTCTCTCCATTTCAGGAACCTTTCTAGAATTTAAGACATCTGAAGGCAAATTTGGCTCGTAAACATGAGCATTAGCAAACCCAACATAGTAGGAGTTGAGAAAACCTTGATCACCTGTTAGCAACAGAATGCACCAAGAGAATCAACATTCAATGTCAAAACAAAAAACCAAAGAAAAATTCTGTGTAACAAATTATAAAAAGTATCTCGCAGAAATTTTTAGATGATAAAAGATAATCAAAATCTTTCCATACAAAGATGCAAAGACAACATACAACCTTAAAACCGAAACAGTACATAGCTAAACCATACCTCCGGTGTAAGAAGGCAAAGTGGTCACCTTGCTCATCATATCATTAAAAACCTTTTCTGATGGCTCAATCACCATGACTCCAGAATTCAATCTCTCAGAATGTTTTAGATTTGCACAGAACTTCCCGCATTTAAACAGATCGTCAATGCTTTTAACAACAATGGTATCGGCGTCAAGATACACCACTGGCAAAACAAGGGAGAAATAGCAAGATTACGGCCTACAATTCAGAAAGCCATATGCATTTTGCATGACATAACACACACGCACGCACGCACACACACACACACACACACACACACACACACACACACACACACACATATATATATATATATATATATATATATATATATATATATATATATATATATTCAAGTAATGAAACAAGCTAGACCTCCCTACCTTCCCCACACCCATCGCCCCTTTTTCCCTTTAACTTGTATAAAAGAGATGACCTAGTTGTACCAAGCCTAAAGCCTTAACTTGGTGGATTTAATTGCTCAAGCCGACTCTCATCTAAAATAAGGATTTATGAAAGCGCAACCTGTTTCCCTTTCTCTTTAGAATCAAATATATATTCACCTAAGTTTTTTACTCTTAGTACAATTACATGCATACTAGGTTATACTCGATATACTTGCAGCTATATCAGTTAAACAGGTTGACGAAATGACATCAGAAGTAAAGGTTGAAGTTTTGATGCATCGAATTACCTTTCTTGTAACTGGTCATGTTGAATACTTTTAGCTTTGTGTAGACGCCCCAAAACCTCTTCGGCCTCACTTGGTTTGGGTTTGCCAGTAAACTAATTTTCTCCACAATCCAACCATCTGCCTGCAAGAAAGAAAACAACCGTTTTAATAGGAAAGTTAAGTACCACCTAGAAATAGCTTAGCAAAAAAAAAAAAAATTGACGATTACATTTATACTTAAATGCTAAAGAACTAAAATAACTATGATCAGGACCTGTTAATGCAAGCTCAATAAAGAATAACAGCTACAATAAGACTGTTATAGGACTTCATCCAGGCTAACTAAATCACAATTCATAGGCACCATTTTTAACAATTTGCTTTTACTGACTGGAAAGTAATTTAGCTGCAAAACAGAAAAAATAGTAATTGAATTTGTATGTCACATTAGAATATATCTTCAAGATAGACTCAATTTACTACTTCTAATGATTGAGCCAGCACACGATTTAGATTTTTGAGAATGATTTTAGTATTCACTCTTTTATTGGCTCTACATCACCAATAAAGCAAATCACTTTATATTCAGCAATTCACACTTCTAGGAAATACCCATGAGGATGTGAATTTCTTTTCTATATTGAGTTTCTTTTTCCAATAATTTATGCTTTCGAGTCAGCATGCGTACACCTTCACTAATCCACAAGGCAATCCTGTACAGCCCAAAAATGCAAGTGACGGGTAAACTCGCACCCCAAAGCTAGGTAGATGGGCCGGTGAAGTATTGTACAGGGGATTAGAACCCAGAAACAGCAAGCTTTCTCTTATGGCTCAACCATTGAGCCTCCTCTTAGAGAGGAAACTTAGTTATTCTTAATAAGCAAGCACATGAAAATTGGATTTTGTTGGCCATAGAACAATAACAACTAAGTTGACATTTCCCAGCTCAAGCTTTCAAAAAACTACCCAAAGGAAGTAACTTTAGTTCTGCATTGAGTTATTCTTATAATTTGAGTGTCCGAAACGGCTCCAAATGAAGCAGATTGAGATCATTCACATACTCCACTCCAGCTAGTTTGGGATTGAGCATCATCATTGCTGGAACTTAAGTTCTATACATTGACATTGTAAAAAATATATACACAATCAGTTAAATCTCTTGATAAATATTATAATCAGGTAAAAATGGTAACTAACATGCTACTACAGTTAAAATTAACTCTTTGTTGTGTCAGTATATATAACTTAAATCCTTGTTATTGTAGTACTAGTGAATAACAAGCTTTAAAAAGACTACCCAAATGATGTAAATTCAAATTCTACATTGAGTTATACTCATAATTTAGCATCCGAAACGGCTCCAAATGAAGCAGATTGAGATCATTCATATAGTCGACTCCAACAATGTCAGGGAACAAGGGGTATATGCTGCTGGAATTTAAGTAATATACAATGACAATGTAAAAACTGTCTACACAATCAGTTAAATCTCTTGATAAACATTAATTAGTAATCAGGTAAAAACGGTAACTAAGGTGCTATCACAGTTAAAATTTACACTTAGCTGTGTCAGTATATACAACTTAAATCCTAGTTGTTTGTTGTAGTATTAGTGAAATACTGAGTTATTTTCTCAATAAGCAAGCACATAAAAGGGTAAAAAAAAAGGAGGTGAATTCAAACAAAGTACATGATATACATACCAAGAGGAGCTCCTTAGCATATTGAGAAACACCATCAGAGACCAAAACAACCATATCTTTAGTGGATCCAGTATCCCTAATTGACTTTCCAAGAACCCTAACCCCAAGCAAGAATTCATCTCCATATAAAAGGGTCACATATGCTTCTTCAGATTTACATGAAGCTCCAATAAAACAATCACATAACATAAAAATCAAAAATAAAACAACCCCTAATCGTAAAACAGTGATTTTCATGATAAAAATAGAATCTTTCTTTCTTTCTGTTTTACAAAGAGAAATGGAAAAGGGGATCTATGTACTGGGTTTTTTCTTCAAAGTTCAAAGGGTTTTTGAATTTTTATTTTATAATGTATTTGTGTGTTGAGTTCATGGTCTTTTTTGTCGTCTCCCTTTGCCTGTCTTTTTGGAAAGTAGGAGTTGTAAACCGTCTCAACGTGCCCAAAAAGGATTAAGGAAATTGCAGCGAAAAGGGAACAAAAAAGAAAATAAGAACACAAGAACCCGCTTTCCTCTTTTCTACAAAAATAGAAGATACTCCTAAAAATGCCTCTCTTTTTTTATATTCTGATTTGCTCCGAGTAGGGCCTTATAGGGGTGTCAATGAATATTTAAAAATCTATTAAACAAATCGAAACGGACCGTATCGAACTGATTTTTATGTTTCTTTTAATAAAATCGTAGGTTCTATATAAATCTATAATCGTACTGATAATTAAGTTAGTTTTTTATTTTATGAAAATAAACCGAAAAAATATTGAACCGTACCTAGTAAATTTACATGTGAAAAATATATTTGTATATTAAGTTAAAAATAATAAAGCACTAAAATTTTTCTTGGGCCTTGGAATTATGAAAACGGTTACAAGCCAACAAATAATTAAACTCATAATCCTAATTCTCAAACCTATTTTGAATCCAGCATATTTTTAGCAAGACACAAAGTACTATAGCGATTATGAATAGCAAACTATAATGTATTGAATATGTTTCTTTTCGTATGATTTATATTTATTTTTTTGAATATTTAATCTTTCATAGACTTTATGCTTGAGCCACAACTTGATTAATATCTTTTCACTCGTGTGATTTATATTTTCTTTGTCTTTGCTTAGTTTCTTTTACGCTGTTGTAGAACAGTTGATGGATCTATACTATATCCATCTTTCATGTTTTCTTAATTCATCACCATTTAAACAGTAAACATATATAGAGAGAGATTTGCTAAGTCATATAAAAGTACGTATGTTATTGCATTTTACTTCTACTAGTAACTTTCACATGATATTTAAAAAAAATACCGAAAATTAAATCGCACCGATACCGAAGAGAAACCGGCATGATTGGGACGGTTTCGAAAAGTCTAATTTGGCTATACATAATAGAATAACTGAAAATTTGGTACGGTATATATTTTATAAAATAACCGGCCGAACCGAACCATTGACACCCGCCTCATTCGGGGGACCGCTCTCTATCAAATATTTTTCCATAATCAGAGCTAGAATCCGAGACCTCTGGTTAAAAAAAGAGCAGCCCCATATACTACACCGCATTTTATGGTTACTCCTAAAAATGCCTTGCCAAAGAATAACTAGGTCATTAATTCCAAATTAAGTTGTTTCTCTTTCCTGTTTGAAAAAAAAAGGATAAAAATTGATATAGCGTAGTTGTAAAGGACTTTCTACATAAAGTTAAATTTTAAATTGTTTAAATAATAAGTTGCAAATAAATTTTAAGTATGGAAAATTAAACTGCAATTACAAGACAAACATAAAAAGAAAAAATGATTTCATTAATAAATCTTTACAAATATAATTTCCTAGAACTAGTGAAGAGCAAATGAATACCACCAAAGGATGTGGTGCAATGGATGAGACTGTTCTTCCCTTAATCAGAGGTCTCGGGTTCGAGTCTTGGGTATGGAAAATCCTTGGTAGGGAGCGCTTCCCCCCGAAAGGGGCCCTACGCGGCGTGAATCCGAATATAGTCGGCTTCAATGCGGGTACCGGACACCGGGCGAGAAACCAAAAAAAAAAAAAAGAGCAAATGAATGATGATTTAGAAATATGTCCAAGTGTTGGCAGAGTTATCCATTACATAATCTAATACTCCTTCCGTCTTAATTGATACGAAGGTATTTAATTCGGTACGGAATTTAAGAGAAAATTATTTTTTAAAAAGTTATGGTCTAAAGCAACCATATAAATTTATGTGGCAAATAATTATTTTATTAAGGGTAGTAAGAAAATTTTAAAGTTAAATTATTGCTAAATATAAAATATATTATTTTTTTGAACTTAGTAAAATAAAAAAACTGTCATATAAATTAGAACGAATGGAGCAACGGGTATCCTCGCCTAGATTGAATTGGACATCACGATTATTTTCTTTGAAAAAAATCTAGGAGTCACAAGTAATGATTTCTATCGTGAAGACAATAAGAATTTCCAATTCCGATGCATGAAATAAGTCAAAAATAGTTTTGGAATTCAAAAACAGATTAATACTCTCTTCGTCTCAAATTATCTATCATATTTCTCTTTTAAGAAACATTAATTAGAAAGAGGATTGGACTATTTTACCTTTATTTATGTCTTAATATATAATTCCTTTCTACTGAATATTTATTTTATTTATATGTTATCTCTATTTTCAAAAAATAATTAATATTAAGGATAAAAAAAATACATATTTCAATAGTTGTCCAAAAGGTTGCATATTTTCGCCTTTACATAATAATTTCTCCCCTTATTTTCTCACGGTACTTCCCCTACTCTCTCTCCCTTCATTTCGCTTTGGTACCTCTGAAGATTTCGTCGACTACTCCTCTCGCAATATATACATAAAAGCGCCAGCTACAAATATACACATACCTTTCTCTTTGCCAGCGATTTTCAATTCCTCCGACCACCGGTGATCCAATCAATACTTTTTTGCCGCACTGGTACGTACGTATTGTGAACTCTACCAATTCTCTCTGTTTTGTACTACGGATCACGTCACCTCAAGCCCTAATTTGACGGACGTTTGTTTCCTTTTAATCAAGTTAGTTCTACTTTGATCTGATATTAGTCTTTACTTCTAGTGTATCAATTAGCCTAATATATTTATGTCTATTCTCTGGTAGATAAACAAAGCAACATGTTAATAATGTCCAACAAGGAAGAAACTTTGCTCCTTAATGACACTGAACTCGATCGTCTTGCTGACATTGCCAGCAAGACTGTTGATGCTGCAGGAGAAATTATCCTGAAGCATTATTTGGCTCGGGGCAATGTCTACAATGTCTCCAATGCTAACGTTCTATCATGGACGAGCGTCGCGGCTGAGGCAGAGAAGGCTATGATTTCACTTATCCTAAACAATTTACCCAGCCACACTGTTTATGGGAAACAAACTGGATGGAACAATTGCAGTGGACCAACAATTCCCGAGTTTGTTTGGGTTTTGGATCCTGTTAATGGTGTGACGGATGGACTCTTGCCTACTTTTGGCACTTCGATAGCTGTAGTTCACAATGGTAAATCCGTCATTGGATGCATCAATAATCCTGTTGCACAGATCAAAACCATTGGGAGGAGGGGCAAGACTACTAGGAACGGGGTTGTTGTGAGGACACGAGCTTGTGAGCACCTCGAACAAGCATATACTGATATTAATGATCCTGATTACAATGAAGATGCCAAATATGCCTATAATAGGCTCGCGTACAAGGTTGGAGAAACTTTCTTTAACGGCAACTGCATTGCTTACTCTGAATTGGCTGCTGGTATGTTGCAAGTCATCGTTGATTCTGCTGTTGAGCCCTATGGTCTTCTTAGGTTAGTTCCTATAGTGGAAGGTGCTGGTGGAATTATAACTGATTGGCAAGGAAATCAACTTTCTTGGCAACCTTCTCCAGCATCTTCTGTTCCGCGGGATGGTTTCAAGGTTGTTGCTTCTGCTGACTTAACAACTCACCAACAGATTATTTTTTATTCAAGATTTGGTCTTTCTCCATTTAGTTCTCTAGTCTTTTTGATCATGAAGTAGACTGGATCCATAGAAAAAGCTGGTTAGGATTCATTGTGAGTTTCACTAACAAAAATGAATATCAGTCATCGTGTGATTATACAATCTGTTTTAAACCAATATACCTCGCAAAACAAACTACCATCAATGTTTAGCTTCTTCTTTTTTCCTCAGTTTCACTAGTAGATGCTATGTTGTCAAATCCAAAAGAGTGGAAATAAAACATGTTATTGTATTAGTTGTTAGGGAATAAATCTCCCACAGTAATAATATTCACGGCAATAAAAGCGGAATAATAACGTAGCACTGAGATACGGTAATCAACCAGAATAAAAGAGTGACGACACCAAGATTTTTACGTGGAAAACCCTTCTAAATAAGGGGAAAAATCACGACCCTGAGAGGAGCAACTGATATCACTATAGCAAGGAATTTTACACTTTGTAGACCCGAGTAAAATACTTCAAAGACCACTACAACACTCAAAGATAACCCTTTTTTGATATTTTCACCTCACTACAATATCGCCACACTCTCTATTTTCCTCACAAACTATTTTCTTATACCCTGTCTGTGATGCCTCACTCTTTTTTTCTCTCTTTGTTGGTGTGTTGAAAGAAGTGAAAGAGCTCTCCTTTTATAGGAGAAAATACGTAGCCTCCAAGAATGCTACAGGAGAATTGTTAATTCTCTTCCACAAATTTAGCCTTTGGCTCCAAGTCTCTCTGCTAACCTATCTATAGGCACATGCCTATTTCACTTGTTTTATTGTTTGTTTTAACAATGGGTTGGACCCCACAATCTTCCCCTCCAGACCTATTCACCGGAAGGAGGTAACACTGGGTTTGCTAGTTTGAGTGCATGCCGACAAGTTCGTTGCATAGCTCGAACTTGTCTCTTGGTACCACCTTGGTCAGCATATCCGAAGGATTCTCACTTGTATGGATCTTCTTGACCTGTATAGATCCATCCTCTATCTTTTCTCGAATCCAGTGATCTCTCACGTCGATATGCTTCGTCCTTGTATGATATATGGTGTTTTTTCTCAAGTCTATTGCACTTTGACTGTCACAATAGACTGTATATTCCTTCTGGTGCAATCCAAGTTCTTGAAGAAACCGTTTTAGCCATACCATCTCCTTGCCAGCTTCAGTAGCGGCAATATACTCTGTTTTAGTTGTAGAGAGTGCGACACACTTCTGCAACTTCGACTGCCAGGATATGGCTCCCCCTGAAAAAGTGAACATGTATCCAGTAGTAGATTTACGATTATCAAGATCACCTGCTATATCAGAATCCGTGTAGCCCTTCAAGATTGGATCATATCCTCCAAAACACAAGCAATCTCCTGCGGTACCTCTTAGGTACCTGAGTATCCACTTGACTGCTTCCCAATGTTCTTTTCCGGGATTTTCAAGGAACCTGCTAACAACACCAACGGCATGAGCAATATCTGGTATGGTGCATACCATTGCATACATCAAGCTTCCAACTGCTGAAGAATAAGGAACTCTAGCCATGTTCCCTTTCTCCTCCACTGTTGTAGGACACATTTTCTTGCTCAACTTCATATGACCAGCAAGAGGTGTGCTGACTGGTTTAGCATTTTTCATGTTGAAGCGTTCCAGTACACGTTCAATGTACTTCTCCTGAGATAGCCACAACTTTCTGCTTGTTCGCTCTCGAACTATCTTCATCCCGAAAATTTGTTATGCTGGGCCCAAGTCCTTCATGTCAAATGACTTGGACAAATCTTTCTTCAACTTTGCAATCAGCTCCTTGTCTTGTCCTACAATCAACATGTCATCCACATACAACAACAATACAATAAAGTTGTTATCAGAAAATCGTTTGAAGTATACACATGGATCAGAATAGGTCTTTATGTATGTTTGAGTTTTCATGAATGAGTCAAACTTCATATACCACTGCCTTGGTGCCTGCTTCAACCCATAAAGACTCTTGTTCAATTTGCACACCATGTGTTTCATTCCAGCTACTTCAAATCCTTCTGGCTGCTCCATATAAATCTCTTCTTCCAAATCTCCATGAAGAGATGCAGTTTTCACATCCAACTGCTCCACTTCAAGATCTAGGCTAGTTGCTAAGCTCAAGATTGTTCGAATAGAAGTCATTTTGACAACAGGTGAGAAAATTTCGTCAAAATCAATACCTTTCTTCTGTTCGAAACCTTTCACCACCAATCGAGCTTTGTATCTGACCAGCTTGCGATTTCCATCTTTCTTGAGTTTAAAGAACCATTTGCATTTGAGTGGTCTTTTACCCTTTGGAAGTTCAATCAGCTTGTACGTGCCATTTTTCTGTAGAGATTCCATCTCTTCTTGCATGGCTTTCATCCACTGGTTCTTTTTTGGATGGGACAACACCTCCTTAAGACTTTCTAGCTCTCCTTCATCACTGATGAGGACATACTCTGTGGAAGGGTACCTGCATGACTCTACCCTTGGCCTCTCTGATCTCCTCAGAGGTTGAGGTTGTTCTTCTTCCTGAGTGGGGTGCTCCACTTCCTCGACACTTTCATCAAATTGCTCCCCCTGCTCAATAACCTCACCAGGTTTCTCCCCCTGCTCGGCAACCTCGTCGGTCCTACTTTCTGCACTTGTGGGATTGCTAGAAGTAGAAGGAATAGTAACAAGGTTAGGAATTATACCATTCTTGGCCTTCTCTGACATATCATCAGCAGTTCCAACTTCACTTTCTCGGAAGACTACATCTCTGCTTCTGATGACCTTCTTCTTTACAGGATCCCACAATTTGTATCTGAACTCTTCATCTCCATATCCAATGAATATGCAGGGAACAAATTTATCATCCAGCTTTATTCTCTGCTCCTTTGATACATGTGCAAAAGCTCTACAACCGAACACCTTCAGATGTGAGTAGAACACCTCCTTGTTGGTCCAAACTCTCTCTGGGATGTCAAACACCAACGGAACTGATGGACTCCTATTGATCAGGTAACAGGCTGTCTGAACTGCTTCACCCCAGAATGACTTAGGCAGTTTAGCCATTCTGAGCATGCTTCTCACTTTCTCAACAATGGTGCGGTTCATCCTCTCGGCTACGCCATTGTGCTGTGGGGTTCCAGGAACTGTCTTTTCATGTCTGATCCCGTGACTTGAACAGTAATCTTCAAATTCTCTTGAAGTGTACTCACCTCCATTATCACTTCGGAGACGCTTTAGCTTTCGACCCGTCTCCCTTTGTACTAGAGCATGAAACTTCTGGAAAACTTGAAACACCTGATCTTTGGTTTTCAAAATATAAACCCATAATTTTCGTGAAACATCATCAATAAAAGTAAAAAAATATTTGTTACCGCCCATCGATTCAATTTCCATTGGAGCACAAACATCGAAATATACTAAATCAAGTATATTCAATTTTCTTTCAGACGATGTCTGAAATGAGACTCTATGCTGCTTACCAAATAAACAGTAGTCACAAGGTTTTATCGTTGTACCTTTGGCATAAGAAATGAGTGATTTCTTGGCAAGAATCTGCAATCCCTTCTCGCTCATATGACCCATTCTTTTGTACCACAAATCTGCAGAAATCTCATCTTGTGCCGCGTTCAATTCACCTTGGCATATTTCTGCATTTGTCCTGTACAATGTGCCATGAGCAACCCCCTTTGCAATCACCAATGATCCCTTGGTGATCTCCACTTTTGATTTGCAAAATAGTTCTCGTACCCATCTCGGTCTAAAGCAATTCCCGAGATCAAATTCATCCGCAAATCTGGTACATGCCGCACATCCTTTAGAACAAATGTGCATCCGACATTTGTCTTGATACAAATGTCACCAATCCCCGCAATCTTTGAGTAACTTGTGTTACCCATTCTCACCGTGCCGAAATCACCTGCTACATATCTGCAAAAAAGATCTATTACCGGTGTGGCATGGTAAGATGTTGCTGTATCAACCACCCATTCCGACTCGGGACCTGACAGGTGCATGCATTCCTCTTCCTCATTTATAAAGAGGACAACATTATCATTATTTTGCACCATGGCGGTTGTGTTGTCGTCATTCTTCTGGCCACTGCTTTCACCTTTGCCCTTCCTTGGATTTGGGCAATCTCTTTTGAAGTGACCTGGTTGATCGCAATTGTAGCAATTTCTGGCTTTTAACTTGGATCGGTTCTTGGACTTACCACGAGCTCCAGGTCTACCGTAATTGCTTGAACTCCTTTGGTAACTCCTACCTCTACCTTCTGTGATGAGGGTTTGTCCTTGATTTTCAGGCTTCTTTCTCATCTTATCATTGAGTATAAGAGTCGATGTGACATCCGTCAACTCAATGGTAGTCTTACCGTGCAGGATGGTTGTTGCCAAATTATCGTACGAAGATGGCAACGAGTTCAATAGCAAGATCGCTTTATCTTCTTCCTCGATTTTCGCTCCAAGGTTGGCGAGCTGTGTGATTAGTCCGTTAAACACATTTAAACGTGACAAATAAATTCGTACCTTCACCCATGTGTAGGGCGTATAACTGCTTCTTCAGGTACAGTTTATTTGTCAGCGTTTTGGACATGTATAGGCTTTCCAACCTTGTCCAAATGCCACGTGCGGTGTCTTCATCAAGGCGTAATACATACGGAGACACCTAAAGTTGGCACGATCTTTCACTTAGACACTTAAACTAGGTCTCTTTCTAATTAGACACGTTTCTTAGGCAATTCTCATACCACTTAGACACGTTTCTTAGGCAATTCTCATACCAATTAGACACCATTTTTGCTGGCTTATTAATTATTGTGTAGGGATTTGCTGCAGCTTTGAATGAAGTTTTACCCAATGCTGAATTTAGGATGTATGCCAGGCATATCTGGTCTAATTGGCATAAGAAATGGAAAGGAGAAAACAGTTTTGGAGGTGCTCTAAATCTAGTTATGAAGTTAAGTTTATTTGTAAGGATATTTGCAGGGATTTGTTATATTATCCAAAAAAGTCATGGGTTAGAGCCTAGTTTAAGTGTCTAATTGGTATGAGAATT